ATCCTGTCTTCTTGTTGAGAAAATTTGATCAATTGCGTTGAGAGACCAGCTGAACAAATCCATAATTTACAGTACGGAAGGTATGCAAAAAGGGGCTCTGAAAAAGGTTCACAAGACAAAGAGCAAAGCAGGAACAGAGCAGAGGAGGAAGCTTGTGCTTTCACTGAGAGCAAGCAAAAATGTAATAATCTGACACTTTTCACCTCTACTACATTCTTTGCCAACTCCTCCTTCAGGACCACCCCTACTCCATTTCTCTTTCCACACCATGGTAAAACAGTTTGAACCCTGCTCCAATGCTGCGAGCCTTGCTGCACTTTGTCTCTTGGACACATAAAACATCTACCTTCCTTCTCTGCATCATGTCAGCCAGCTCTCTACCTTTGCCTGCTTGTCCCCACATTGCAACCCTCAGTCCTACATTCTTCACATTCCTCTTCTCCCACTGTCTCCTGACATATTTCCCTCCTCATGGTCTTCCACTAAAAGTAGCACAATGTCCGCTGGCACTCTTTTGTCAGCAGCACCGGTGGCGGTTGTTGTTAACCCGGGCCTCGGCCGATCCAGTATGGTTTCACTTTGATAAACTCACATTATAGTTTTGGCAAAACAGTTTTATGTCAAATGCCCTTCTTGACACAACCCTCACCATTTACCCAGGCTTGGGACCAGAACCATAGATACATTGGCTCATGCTCCCTGGTGGCTGGTTTAGGGTTTTTACAATTTAGAGTTACCAATCAGTCTAACATGCATGTTTTGGTTCTGTGGGAGGAAATTGGAGTGCCCAGAGAAAACCCACACAGCACAGAGAGAACATGCAAACTCCACCCAGAAAGACCCCCGGGCCAGGATTTGAACTGGGGCGATCTGCTCGCTGAGAGGCAGCAGCTCTTTACCACCGTGCTGCAATCTCTAAAATCATCCAACTTGAACAGTGGTTGTGTAAAAAGTGTCTTCAACTTGTTTCCACCCAGAACCGGTGTCTTTGGGGACAGTTTCAGTTGTGTTGGAGTGTGTTTTGTTGTTCTTCGGCTCCAGACGTCAGCGCTCGCTGTTCTGAGCAGACGTAGTTAATTTGCTTTAAGAAGTAATAAAGTGCTTTAATGTGTCTGCTTGTTTTACGGCTCCGAAGGTGTAAACTTTAACGTACCCTGAGGTTGGTCTGCAGTCACAAAAGACACTTTTGTCCCTCAGTTCTTTTTGACTTTGGACGGAGTGAAGTGAGCAGTGAACTCTCAGGGGAGTTCGTCTCTCTCCGGCTGTCACCTGGGCTCAGGTGAAAGGAGGGATGGATGTCCAGGTCACAGAATCTGGGTGTGGTTCTGTTCTCAACAGTTTTCCCCGCGGGCTGGGAGCGGCTGGTTTGTGCCGTTACACCCAAACTATCAAAGTACTTCTGCAGAAATGATTAAAAACCCATTTGGTGCTGATCCGCTGGTACCACAAGCCCAGACCTGTCTCTGCGTGGTTCTGCCAGCTGCAGATGTAATTTGTGCAAAGATCTGAAACAAAACAAGCCGTGGAGGTTCTGTGATCCAAACAGGGCCTGGCAGACGTCTGTGAATGTTCTACAAAGTGCTTCGTGTTCACTGATCACAGCTGATCTGGACTCAGCGCCGCTGGCAAACAAACCCAAAACCTGATCCTGGTCCAGATCTCAGCTCTCTGAATCAGGCTCAGGTTCTGTTTTTTATGACCCGTTCTGTTGTAATCAGCTGCTGTGTTCTGGATTATGGTTCTGTTGGATTCGGTTTGGTCTAAGCTTCAGCTTTTGGACTCCTGAGCCCTCTGGTCCATTCAGTGGCTGACAGGAGCCCAAACCATCATCCTCCACCACCGTACTGACAGCTGGGAGGAGCTGTCTGCTGCAATGCATTCTGGGTAAACATATGTTCTCTGGTCTGGTTCTGGTCCAGAAATCCTGTGATTCCTTCAGATGAATCTAAGTTGTGCTGCCATTTGTTTTTAGAGCGAAGAGGTCATGACCTTTGACCTGCTGACTGAGACCTGCAGATCTGAGCACTGCACAGTCTGACCTTAAGGGTGAACCTGCTTTCTTAAATGTTCCTGTGAATGATCGTCCTCTCTGTAGAACGATGGAGTCCAGATTGTTCGAAATGACCTTTGACCCTTCCCCGACCGATATGCAGCTGCTTCTCTGAGGTAATTGGTGATGTCTTTCCGCTCCGGTGTTGTGTTAACACACACCTGTGAGCTCCAGATCAAGGTGGTTCCTCTGATGAGGATCGATACATCTGATCAGGTGATTATTACCTGTTTGGATCAAGCGATGGCTGGGAACCAAAGCAGAACAGAACCAGACACTGAATCATTAGAACTTTCAGAATTATATCAAATTATTCTTGTTGTTGTTTATCTGTGATGCATCTGGGGTCACAAATATGCATACACCCCAGCTTAGTTTTGTTGGTTGGTTTCCTGGTTTCAGATCCGGCTTTGGATCTGAGTCCACCGTCCGGTTGAGGTCGGGACTTTGGGACAGTCGTTTCAGTCCATGAACGACCGAGGATCAATGATCTTGCTTGATTTGAGGCGAAGTGGAAGAATTTGGAGGACGTTCTTCTCCTTCATCATTCCATCCACTTTAGTGCCACAGCATGATGCTACCACCTCCATGCCTGACAGCTGGATCAGTGTTCTCTGGTCTGAAGGCTTCACCCCGACTACTCCTGCCTCCATCTTTGTCCCATTTGACTCTCAAACCTTTAGAAGACATTTGTCCCGTCCATGTGGACAGCTGCAGGCTTCAGTCCAGCATTATTTATTTATTCACGTTTTTTATTTAACCTTTATTTTAACAGTTTCTTATTTACAGTGTAGGCCTGGAAGTGCCAGGAGGTGAAAGAAAGAAAAAAAGATGCAAAAACATCAAACACCAAAACAATAACAAGAAAAACAGACAATAATACAAAAGTCATGAATAGAAATTAAATCATTAAAAACAAAAAGCATCATTGAGGTGACAAGTTTCCAAGTGTCTTTAAAAAACGTTTTCACACGACTTCAAAGCAGAAACAGAAACAAGTCCTGATGTTTCCTGAAGCATCATCTGAGGCAGCAGACCAAAACCAGACCTGGTCCTCGAGGTCTTCAACGACAGATACTGGGATGAGCTGCCAAAATACTTTGAAGCAACTATTGGAGAACTTCGAGTGAAGCGTGACTGTTACAACGGTTTGTAAAGACGGACATTTAACCTGAGCGGACAGAGATGAGGAGCATTTATGACAAATGGACTCTCAGAATGTGTCCAACTGATGAAGAGTTCTCGTGTAAATTATGTCTCCAAACAAGACGGCTCTTTCAACGGTTTGTTTTGCAGCCAGACTGAAGAACAGTTTTGATGCTGAAGTCTCGCTTTGACCTTTGACTGAGGAATATTGACATAGTGTGAAAAGGACAGAGCTCCGTGAAGCCAAACTCCCAGATGTTTATAAACCTCCACCTGTTCAACATCACTGTTTATCGTGGTGAAGGGAGCTCCGCCTCCAGAAAACCACAAAACTTTGGTTTTCTTGACATTAATGGACAAACAACTCAACAAAGGCCGTGTGTATTCATCTCCAAGGTTCTGGAACTTCTGTCTTGTCCTCTCAGTCCATGGGAACGTAGAACAGGCTTCAGTGTGGACAGGGACACTGGTGGACAGGGACTGTGACAGTGATATTGGTGGACAGGGACAGTAGTGGACAAGGACATTGGTGGACAGGGACAGTGAAAGGAACTCTGTTGGACAAGGACACTGGTGGACAGGGAAACTGGTGGACAAGACACTGGTGGACAGGGACATCAGTGGACAGTGAAAGTTGTGGACAGGGACACTGGTGGGCAGTGACAGTGGTGGACAAGGACACTGATGGACAGGGACAGTGGTGGACAAGGACACTGGTGGACAGAGACAGTGGTGGACAGTGAAACTGGTGGACAGGGAGAGTGGTGGACAAGGACACTGGTGGACAGAGACTGTGGTGGACAGTGACAGTGGTGAACAGGGACAGTGGTGGACAGGGACAGTGAAAGGAACCCTGGTGGACAGAATCTTGGTGGACAGTGACAGTGTTGGATAGTGACAGTGGTGGACAGGGACACTGGTGGACAGGGACAGTGGTGGGCAGGGACACCATGAAGGTGACTGTTTTCATTCTGTGAAGAGGTAAAGATGAATCTTTAAAAGACTGAAATGACGTGATGATTGTGAGCTGAACCTCAGTCTGACATGAACCTCCCTCCCCCGTGCCATACAGAGAAAGGACATCCAGGAAAACAAAATGACAGAGCTGGTCTGTTCAAACACCCTGCAGGTGAAACATGTCCATTGTTAAAGTTAAACACGTCCCTGTGGTCCACTATGGTTTTGTTCTGTGGGTGATGTTGGACGGACTTTCAGAAAGTCTGGAAGTCTTTTCTTCAAAAGTGATAATAGTGGAGCTGAGACGCTGTGACAGAGCACCTGATTCAGGCCTGGACCAGAACCAGGTGTCTTAGTTCAGAGAAAGTGTTTTTCTTGTCAAACATTAAGTTGGATTATCTCTCTGAAACTCGGCGTTGGAGCAGTAATTGTTTTAGCGCCCTGACAGCAAAACAATCAGTCCCTCCTGGCTCCTCTCTCGTGTCTGTCGTGTTTGCTGGAGATCAGGACGATAAGCGCAGCTGAATGAGGGATTTATAGTCTCTAAAGCATCTTGGCACCTGTTCACAAGCATGTAGGTCACTCCTTGTTGATTGTGGTTTTTCATTCCTGGGGTGTCGCTTTGTTCATGTTTTCCGTGTCTGAACTGGTCCTTCGTGTCTCGAAATGAAAGCAGGCGTGTTGTGGCCTCAGAAATTCAGATAATTGTTGCTCCCACTCAGACACACCTAAAGTCTTCTGTTGTTTATGAGATGAAAAAGGACAGGTGCCTCCTCCCAGGGCTGTCAGGAACTCATCGTCCTCCTCCTCCTCCTCCTCCTCAGGACCTCATCTAACAGTATAAAACAGCAGCTGCTCCTCCACATCCCCACTCTCTCCTCAGCAGTTCAAGCTGAAACTTTCACCACCACCACCAAGATGACTTTGAGGCTGTCCAGCGGAGGCCACATGAGCAGCAGCAGGTCCATGTATGGGGCCATAGGAGGCAATCGGATGGCCTCCGCTGCCTCCAGCATGTCGATGTACAGCAGCGGTGGCGGTGGTGGAGGGGGAGCCGGTTACAGCTTCAGCTTTGGTGGTGGAGCAGGTGGTGGAGCAGGTGGTGGAGCAGGTGGTGGAGACATGAACATCTCTGCCAACGAGAAGGCCACCATGCAGAATCTGAACGACCGACTGGCTTCCTACCTGGAGAAGGTCCGCAAGCTGGAGGCGGCCAACGCTGAGCTGGAGAGGAAGATCAGGGAGTTCCTGGAGAAGAAGACCTCTCCTTCCTCCAAAGACTACAGCGCATACTACGCCACCATCGCAGATCTGCAGGACAAGGTGAGTGATGCTGCAGATGATGCTGCAGCGCCAGCATCACCGGGTCGGTTTGAGAACCCTCAAGGGAGGACACGTGTTGCCAAAAATAAATCAGAGGACAGGATCAGATGTGGAGCGAATCAAAAAGCTTTAAGTTAAACCCTCAAAACTCTTTGAAGCACAACAAGACATCAGAGGCGTTCCTGGCGTTCACAATTGTTTCTCAGAATGTCTCTGTGTCCACAGACTATCTCTGTGTCCTCAGAATGTCTCCGTGTTCCTGTAAAGTTTGTCCTCAGGTATTAAAATAAACTTTTTGTTGTCCAGATCGTGAACGCCACCAAAATCAACGGCGGCATCTACCTCAGCATCGACAACGCCAAACTGGCCGCTGACGACTTCAAACTCAAGTAAGAAAGTAAAACGTCTGAATGCTCAGTTCTGCTGACTCGCTTCACGTTTCTGCATCAGCATCTTCACGGATCTTGCCGGACTCGTGCACCAGAAATCAGTCCTGAATCTCTGCACTTGGGTCTCCTGCAGGTATGAGAACGAGTTGTCCATGCGTCAGTCGGTGGAGGCTGACATCGCCGGACTCAAGAGGCTTCTAGACGAGCTGACGCTATCCAGGTCCGACCTCGAGATGCAGGCTGAAGGTCTGAGGGAGGAGATCATCTTCCTCAGGAAGAACCACGAGGAGGTGAGATGGTGCTCAGACAGGGTCAGGTTGTAGAATCAGACCGGGTCAGGCCCGGTCAGTCGGGGTCAGGTTGTGGGCGGGTCAGGCTCGGTCCGTCCAGATCAGGTTGTGGGCGGGTCAGGACTTATTCAAAGTTAAAACTGGTAAAAACTGAAATATTTATCGGTGAAAAGCGACTCCAGTTCCAGAAACCACCGTCAGTTGTTGACGTGTGTTTTTTACGTAAATGGACAGAAAAAGTTTTCTGCAGAGTTCTGATGATCTGACCCGGTTGTTCTGATCTCTGCTGTGTGGACTATTGAAATCTTTGTGTCCTTTACAATAAGATGTCAAAATAAAAAGCCAAGCATCACCTGGGAACAGTTAGTGGTACAAACCACAGAGCTTTAGTTAGCCACACGCTACATTTACAGCTTTATGAATACCATTTAGCTACTTTAAGCCAGGTTATTTCTCTTTTTAGCTCAATTTTTTGCTACTTTTAGCTTCTTGCTACTGTTTTGCTCCTTTTACCTAGCTTTTTGCTTTGTTTAGCTTATAGCCTTATGCTACATTAAGCTTCTTACGACTCTTCTGCTACTTTTTTTTTCTAGCTACCGTTCGGCTACTTTTAGCTTCTTTTGTCTTTTACTTCTTCTAAATAGCATTTTGCTACTTTTTGCCTTTTCGTCTGTTAGTTAATGTTTTGCTCACTTCAGCTTCTAGCTAGTGTTCTGAATCGTTCAGCACCTTCAATTTAAGCTAAGCTAAACTTTAGCTTCAGGCGTGAACTGGATCTCTGGTTTCGCCTGCAGGAACTGCTGGCTTTGCGCACTCAGATGAGCGGCCAGGTGAACGTGGAGGTGGACGCCGTTCCGGGAGTAGACCTCAACAAGGTCATGGAGGAGATGAGGGAGCACTACGAGGCCCTCGCTGCCAAAAACCGCAAAGAGCTGGAGGCCTGGTTCCAGTCCAAGGTGAGGTTCTCTTGTTGACGTGACGTTCATCTTCCTCTGAGAAACCTTCAGCTTTGATGACAGTGACTCTTCAGAGCGCCACCATCAGGTCGACTGTTGTTTTACACAATCAAAGATGTAAACTGTGTTCAGAGGACCAGATCTTTCACTGAACTCTTTGAGGTGTTTGATGTAGATGTTTTTATTATGAGTCACTATAAACAGACATAAATTCAGAAAATAAAAATACGTGTTTGTTTTTTACTGAAAGTGCCGTTGGTTTTCCTCCTCACAGACAGATTCTCTAAACAAAGAAGTCGCCGCCAGCACAGAAACCCTCCATACGTCAAAATCAGAAATCACAGACCTGAAACGGACCCTGCAGGCCCTGGAGATCGAGCTCCAGTCTCAGCTCAGCATGGTGAGCATTAGACCACAGCTCTGAGAGCATCTTTTCCTTTATGGCTTAAGATCATGAATAAAGTGAGATTTGTCCTCTCCGTCTCCTCTCCGTCTCCTCTCCGTCTCCTCTCCGTCTCCTCTCTGTCTCCTCTTTGTCTCCTCTTTGTCTCCTCTTTGTCTCCTCTCCGCCTCCACAGAAAGCCGGACTGGAGGGCACGCTGGCTGAGACACAGAACCGTTACGCCCAGCGTCTAGCAGCTTTCCAGAGGCAGGTAACGTGTCTGGAGGAGCAACTGACGCAGCTGAGAGCGGACCTGGAGCGGCAGGGACAGGAGTACCAGATGCTGCTGGACATGAAGACCAGACTGGAGATGGAGATCGCCGAGTACAGAAGGCTGCTGGATGGAGAGGGAGGCAGCAGGTGAGACAAATTTACATCACATCCCCATAAACTCTGTAAAAAACACAACAGATGTGATCAACAATTATAAAACCTTAAAATCAAATCACAAATGTTGGTCCTCATGTTGGCTCCATCCATTTCCTGCATTTATCAGCGTAATGGAGTTTATTTTAAACTTTATTTCCAGCAAAATTTTCACTGCCATTTTGTTAATAGTCTTTTTTTCAAGATTATTATTTAAAATACATCACATAATGTTTCTTTTAAAAAGGCATAATTCATTGCAACTTAAAACATCCAGTGTTTCCCAAAAACAGACTTTTTTCTTTGAAACTTCTCAAAAACAGAATTTAAGTTATTAACCAGAAAAGCAACAAGTCATCTGCATAACAACGTACAAATAAAGAGAAAAGCAAAAAACTAAAGGAAGAATGTAAAGAGAAATGTTTTTGAAGAATTTCTTACCATTTGAAACATATACATTTTCTTAAAATTAAACACTTTTTAGTGTTTTTAGTAACCCCCCCCCCCCCCCCGTGTTGTCTGCATGAAGGCGAACATAAATAAGGAAATAAGATCATTCGAAGAAAACATTTAAATGAAAAAGCTTTGCATGATTTATGTAAACCATTTAAAGTTTCTAAAAGTGCACTTTCTTTACTTTGAAACATTAAAAACCTGCCAAGTTAAAGACAAGAACAACAACGTGTCGTCTGCATAAAGACAAACGTAAAACAGAAAATTAAAGGAAGTTTGTAGATGGAAATAAAAGACAGTTGTATAAAATCAACCTATATCAATAATTTATAATAAACCGAGCTGCATCAGTAAAATGTGCATCTACTCAACAGTTTAACATTTTGTTTGTCTCTTTTGCAGCATGTCCTCCTCCTCCTCCACCTCCACCTCCAAGACTTCTACCACCACCAAGAAACAGATTGTCATCGTTGAGGAGGTGGTGGATGGAAAAGTTGTCAGCACCTCCAAACAGGAGGTCCAAATTTGAGTCCCAGCAGGAGGAACTGAGGAGTTTTAAAAATAAAACTAACCAAAAATGAATTTGTTTCTTCTGTCTGTTATTCTCTGATGACCACCAAGTGGAGAAGTTAAGTAGTATCAAGAAAACAATAATTAGGTAGCTAAGTAAATATCTTCAAACAAAAATATTAAAAGTTTCACAAGTGTCAATATTTAAAGGCTATAGAGGAAAGATTAAAAGTGTTGGCGAAAAAAAAATTTAAAAAACAGCTGCAGATGATCAGCAACCAGGACGTTTTTATCATGCAGCAGTTTTTAGACACAATAAAATGTCTCATTCAAATGAATAAGTCTGAATAAAAATAAAGTTCATAGAAATATCAAAGGGGTTTGTGGATTTCTCTCACCTTCCAAGAAATCTGAAGAAGGTTCGGTGTGTTTTCTTCTTTGGTGCACACCAATAAACAACCCCAGCGCTGAAGCATGGCAGTGGAAGTGTCACGGTGAAGGAATTCTTTCAAGCTCTACTGCCTGAAAGACTCACACAGTCATTACTTCACATAAAAGAAAACAGTCATTTGCATCTAAACAGGTATGAAATCACCCTGCTGGAAGGAAAAGAGCTGGATCTCGTGTGTGAAGCTGAGTAATAGTTGGACTTAACTTCGTGCACAACTCGGGCTCTGAAACAACTCCTGGAGAGTGGCTGGATATGGACTCCAACAGGACTGGACAAGTGCAAGTCAACTTTTGCAAAAGCAACTTTCAGTAGCTGTCATGAGAAGCTTGTTGGTGCCTGTTGTGGTGACCAGAGGACCTTGGTGGACCCCAGAGGACTCTTGATGCAGCAGACAGGCACAGGATGGCAAACTGAAGTTCCTGTGCAGTAGAAGCAAAAACTCATAGTTGAAAGTAATTTAGAAAGACCATTAGGAAAGGCTTTTTGTTGATCTCATGAAGGTTCTGGCAAACTGTTTGATGACTCAGAAAAAGAAAGCAAGAACTATCCCAGGCTGTGCTTGGTTTGGAGTTGGATGGATGGATGGATGGATGAATGATTGAATGGATGGATGGTTGAATGGATGGATGATTGGATGGATGGATGTTGGATGAATGGATGGATGATGGATGTTGGATGGACAGATGGATGGTTGAATGGATGATGGATGGTTGGATGGACAAATGGATGGATGGTTGGATGATGGATGGTTGGATGGTTGGATGGACAGATGGATGGTTGGATGGCTGATGAATGATTGAATGGATGTTGAATGGATGGATGTTGGATGAATGGATGGATGGTTGGATGATGGATGGTTGGATGGACAGATGGATGGTTGAATGGATGATGGATAGTTGGATGGATGGATGATGGATGATTGAATGGATGCTTGAATGGATGGATGTTGGATGAATGGATGGACAGTTGGATGATGGATGGTTGGATGGTTGGATGGACAGATGGAAGGTTGGATGGATGGATGATGGATGATTGAACAGATGCTTGAATGGGTGGATGTTGGATGAATGGATGATGGATGGTTGGATGGACAGATGGATGGTTGGATGGATGGTTGGATGGATGATGGATGATTGAATGGATGCTTGAATGGATGGATGTTGGATGGATGGATGGTTAGATGGATGATGGATGGTTGGATGGGTGTTAGCCAACAGATCCAGTATCACAGTGAGGGTTTCAGCTGAACAGAGACTGAAGACCTGAATGTTCTCGTTTGTCTGCCCAGAACATGAACAGAAACAGAATTTATTCCTGAAGTTCCTGTTAGGATGCCATTTGTGTCCATTCCTAATGAGAATGTGTGTGTGTGTGTGTGTGTGTGGGGTGGGGGGGGGACGACACCTTCAGAAGAATAAAAACGGCTCCTCTGGTCCACCTCTGCATTCTCTCCTTGTCTCCATTCAGACCAGGTGAGCTCCTCAACCATGGCCTCCTTGAAGTCCTTCGGCTCAGATTTTGTCCGATCAAACAGCGTGTACGGTGGCGCCGGGGGCTTTGGTGTCCTGGTCTCCAGCCCAAATGTTGGTGAAGGTTTCTCCTCCACTGCTGCAGCAGAAGGAGGCTTCGCCCTGAGCGACGCCCTGGACATCCCAGACAACGAGCAGGCCGCCATGCAGAACCTGAACGACCGCCTGGCCTCCTACCTGGAGAAGGTCCGCAGAATGGAGGAGGCCAACGCCGAGCTGGAGCTGAAGATCCGACAGTACCTGGAGGGCAAGGCCAAACTCGAGGGCCGCGACTACTCTGCGTTCTACGCCACCATCAGAGACCTGCATGACAAGGTGAGACCCGGTTCTGGTTCTGAGCTCAGAATGGTGCGTTGTGTTCGGTACCAAACAAAATCTGAGGTCAGACTAAAGAAACTGACTCCTCCATGAGAGAAAACGCCTCGTGGCACCACAAGACCCACTACACCCAAACAACCAGAACAGACCCAGACCACCTGATCAGAAGGCCAGACTCACAGACGTATGCGCTCTGTAAACAAAGGGAGGCCTTCCTGTTTGCTTGTTTGTTTGTTTGTTTGTAACATTTAAAATGTTTAGGGTTGAATCCGTTCTTCATGTGAAGTGAAATCTCAGCCAAAAACAAAAACCTGACTTTCACATCAAAGCTCAGAAGGTCTCGATGATCCATTCAAGTTTGTCTACGTGGAACAAAAGACACTTTTTGTTTTCTAGATCCTTGACGTCACCAAGGAGAACCGGAGCCTCTGCCTTGACATCGACAGCGCCTGGCTGATCGCCGATCACCTCAAGCCCAAGTAAGAAAATAAAATATTTATTATTTAATTTTCTGATCCAACATTAATAAACCCGACTGATGAAGAAAAGTTCTGACTGGTAAAATTCTGTTGTCCTGTTTGTTCCGCTCCAACCAGACTGGCGAGTTTAGAAAACTTCTCTGCATGTTTATCTCCATGGTTCACGCTGGACTCATGCACCAGAAACTGGTCCAGAAACTCTACGTTTGTGTCTCCTGCAGGTACGAGAAGGAGCTGTCCATGCGTCAGTCCATAGAGACCGACATCTTGGCACTCCGGAGGCTTCTGGATGAGCTGACGCTGTCCAGGACCGACTGTGAGATGGTGATAGAAGGTCTGATGGAGGAGATGATCTCCCTCAGGAAGAACCACGAGGAGGTGAGATGGCTCTCAGATCAGATCGATGACGTCAAGTTAATACGGGTTTCAAATGGTTGTCATTAGCATGCTAAAGAGATGGAGCTAACAGTTAGTTTCAGGGGTGAAATGAGTCTAACTGAAGGTTTCCTGCAGGAGCTGATGGCCATGCACACTCAGGTGAGCGGCCAGGTGAACGTGGAGGTGGAAGCCGCTCCGGGAGAAGACATCACCAAGATCATGGAGGATATGCGGCAGAACTATGAGGCTCTTTCCACCAAGAACCGCAAAGAACTGGAGGCCTGGTTCCAGTCCAAGGTGAGGTTCATGTAGGCTCCTTCCCGTGTTCCTGCAGATATATCATCTGTTGTATCACTGAGTGAAATATCTGAACAGCTTTAGGATCCAAATGAACAAAGATTCTGTGTTCAGGTATTTTTTAGTTTCACATTGACCCAGACCAGTGGTCATTCCATATGTTGCAGGAGTTTCAGAGAAACTGGGACATTTATTTTCTAAACACAACGTCCCCGTGGCTTGAAGGAGGCCATCTATGTGAAAAGAACTCGTCCATCATTAAACAGGGGCGGAGCCTCCGTGTTCAGCTAGTATCACTCAGCCCTCTGTGAATAACAAGCAGCCATCATGGCACTAACAATCAGTTACTAAGCTGATGGTCCTCCTTGATCGTGTGAACAACTAGTTCTGGATGTGACCAACAAACTGGTTGATCCACTATGAGAAGGTGCTATTTATCAGACTGAGTTTGTTGCAGCTCCTTAGACTGAAAAAGTCTTTTGTATTAAAGATTAAATGTTTCAACAAAGAAGAATCCGTCCAGAGGACCTGACTCCACCTGGTTAGAATTGTTCATATTTTCATTAAGTTGGACACATATGGTTAAATCTGCAGCTCTGTAAGTCCAGGAATAATAAGCTCGCTGGTCACCTGGCTCGGAGACTACCTCACAGGTCGAGCACAGTAGTGAGGCTGCAGAACACCACCTAGGACACCAAACTGAGCAGCACAGGGGCTCCTCAGGGCACGGTCCTCTCACCGTTTCTGTTCCTCTACACCTCGGACTTCAGGTACAACTCATAATTCTGCCATCTGCAGAAGTTCTGGATGTCTCTGTCATTGTGGGCTGCATCACTGGTGACCAGGAAGCTGAATACAGTGGTGTGGTGGACAGAACCACCTGCAACTCAACGCTGGAAAAACTAAAGAGCTGCAGGTGGACTACAGGAAGAAGACCAGATCCCCAACCCTATCAACATCAAGGATACTAAGGTGGACACTGTGGACTACAATAAGTACCTGGAGGTCCACCTAGATAATAAACTGGACTGGACAGCTAACACAAACGCCCTCTACAAGAAAGGACAGAGTCATCTTTAATGTTTCTGTCTGCACCTGTTTAGACCTTAATGATGCTATTTTTATTTTCTTTTTTTTATATATCTTGTGTGATTCCTTGTGTATGTTTCTTCGTTCTGAAACTTTGGCACAACAGTTTCCTGCAGGATAAAGTTCTATCTTATCTCATCTTATCTTAACAAGGAAGTGAAGTGAGGATGATTTGATTGGCTGTTGATGTTGTGGAGTCTGAACAAACTGAAGACGTGGTTGAATAAAAAAGGAAATTGTAGAAGAGATTAACTTTTACTGATGATGCTGTTTTTCCTTCTTTCCAGAGAGAATCGCTCAACAAAAAGGTCACCGCCAGCACAGAAAACCTCCAGACATTCAAATCAGAGATCCCAGACCTCAAACGGACCCTGCAGGCCTTGAAGATCGAGCACCAGTCTCAGCTCAGCATGGTGAGTACAAGCAACGTCTTCCTGTCCACAGATTACTTGAAGCCACCAACACATCAAGACTTCTTTTGTCTCTGTCTGCATAGCACTACAGCCTGAAGGACACGCTGGCTGAGACACAGAACCGGTACGTCCAGGGTCTGGAAGGTTACCAGAAACTGGTAGTATGTCAGGAGGCTCAGCTGATGCAGCTGAGAGAACACCTGGAACAGCAGGGACAAGAGTACCAGATGCTGCTGGACATGAAGACCAGACTGGAGATGGAGATCGAGGAGTACAAGAAGCTGCTGGACAGGGAGGACGGCAGCGAGTGACACAACTTCACATCCAAAACGTTATGCCCCCATAAACTGCCTTAAAACACGTTTTCATTCACGTTGTCTGTTTTGTCCTTTTATTAAAGAGTTCTGACTTGAAGAGCATCACAGACTATCTATGAGACGACAGTGTTATTCGAAACATCCAAAGTATCCTGAAAGGGCACATTTTTTGGTTTAAAACATTTAAAAACTTTGAGGTCAAAGACAAGAACAGCAGCGTGTCGTCTGCAGAAAAGTCAACATAAAGATGGAGATGTTATTGAAAGAAGAAACCAGTGTATAATTTATATTTATCTCATCCAAAGTTTCATAAAATAACACTTTTATTTTGGTTGAAAACAAAACAAAGCCTTCAGGTTAAAGACAAAAACATTGTGTCATCTGTGTAAAGGTGAACACAAAGATGGAAATGAAATAATTAAAAGGAAATGAATAAAACTATGTAATTAGTTAAATCATCTAATGTTTTATAAAAGTGCCTTTTTTAGTTTAAAACATAAAAAAAACACCAGGTTAAGACAAAAGCAGCCGTGCACTGTGTGCATAAAGGTGAACAGAACAGAAAAGCATATAATTAAAAATAACTGTGTAGTGTACAGGAAACTAAAATAAAGTTGTAAAAACATCAAACAACCAGCCAATACCTTATAAACCATTGATCATCTGGGATTTTTATACACAACCATCTCTACGGTTCAAAAAGAATGTTTAGAAAAATGTAAAATATCCGGTGAACTACATTGTTCAGACCAAAGTCTTGTTAATGTCAGAGAAGAATGAGAAGAGATGATAGAAAGACAACATCTGCAAACATCTGGAACTAAAACTCATGAAACAATTCAAGGACAAACCAGTCTGAAGAGGACAGCAATGATCTCCAGTCTCTCAGACCGGACCACATAAAGAACTGCCATCCATCAGTAGACAGAACAGCAAGGAGCAGGGATTACTTCAGGAAACCTCCATCAGGTTCTGCAATCCAGAGTTCCATTCACAAATGTCTCTAAACTTTACTGAGAAAAACAAAAGCCCAAAATTAAACCAGTCCAACGGTGGTGCTGGCTCCAGTGGGTCAGACCATCATACAGTGGAAACCTGAATTAAATGGGGCAGTACAGTCGTCTAGATCTTTGTTGGAGGAAATGGACTAAAAAACAAACAGCCAAACAATTGTCTACAAGTCCAAATACCTGGTTCGGTGGTGGTTTGGACTTGGATCAGGGTCAGTAATGGTGTGGACTGGTGTGGACTTCAATCAGGGTTCAGTAACGGTCTGGACTTGGATCAGGGTCAGTAACGGTCTGGACTTGGATCAGGGTTCAGTAACGGTCTGGACTTGGATCAGGGTTCAGTAATGGTCTGGACTTGGCTCAGGGTCAGTAAAAGTGTGGACTTGGATCAGGATCAGTAACGGTCTGGACTTAGATAAGGGTCAGTAATAGTGTGGACTTGAATCAGGGTCAGTAACGGTCTGGACTTGGATCAGGGTTCAGTAACGGTCTGGACTTGGATCAGGGTTCAGTAATGGTCTGGACTTGGCTCAGGGTCTGTAATAGTGTGGACTTGAATCAGGATCAGTAACGGTTTGGACTTGGATGAGGGTTCAGTAATGGTCTGGACTTGGATCGGGGTCAGTAACGGTCTGGACTTGGATCAGGGTCAGTAACTGTCTGGACTTGGATCAGGTTCAGTTCAGGCTTCAGAAGATTTGTGTTCTAATTAGTAAAAATCCATGGTGCGATCAAGTCCTGTGAATCTTGACTGACCTGGTTCCTGCAGTGCCGATGGGTCAGTCCTTCATGGAACCCATAAAAACTGACACAGTTTACAGAGTTTCTGTTTCTTTGCTCCCTCAACAGATAAATTATCTTTATTGTAGACACGTGTTAGGATGTTTCTCATAAAAGACTCCAGGTCGGTTCTACGGCGCCAGCCTGGGCTGGTTTCTGTCTCGAGTCCTGTACCTCATCTCTTAAATAAACTGAGCCGAGTCGTAAAGATCAAACTGTGCGTCCATAAAGCTGCTGTCTCTTTGACTGTGTCGTTACTTCTCCGTTCTGAAGACAGTCTGACAGCCGGAGCGACGCCCTGCAGGGTTCGCCTGCAGCGTCTGACATGCTGCTCGTAAAATCTGACCTCCATCAGACGAACAACGTTCAAGTTCAAGTTGCTTTATTGTCATTCACCACATGTGGTACATGAGGTGGAACAAAATGATGTGCTCAGGGTCCCGGTTACACCCAACAACAGCAACAAATGTTTAAAAGAAACAGAATACAAGGATCTAAGATACACACTATAATGTAAATAATACAGTGTATTAAACAGCAGCCTGAACATGAGTCTGTGGTGAGCAGATGGGTATGAATGAATACAGCAGCATGAGATAATCAGCAGCATAAAATAATCAGCAGCATGAGATAATCAGGAGCATCATCCAACAGGTTCATGAAGCAGCAGAACTGTCAACGTGCCCGACTGAGCAGATTGTTCCACTCAGCTGCACCACTGCCATTTACCAACGATGCACTGCTTTCATTTACCATCTCCATCTTCTACCGCTTATCTGTGGTTGGGTCACGGAGCAGGTCCAGGAGAGAAACCCAGACCTCCTTCTCCCCAGAGACACTCTCCAGCTCCTCCTGGGTTAGGGTTCGGGTTACCTGGGGTGCTCTGGGTACACCCTGAGGCATCCTAGTCAGATGAACCACTTTAGAGGAGCAGCAGCTCCCCCAGGTGACAGAGCTCCTCACCCTAAGGCTGAGCCCAAGGTCTCAGCATCTGGTTCTTTCAGTCCTGATCCAAACCTCATGATCACAGGTGAGGGTTTGAATGTAAACAGACCAGTAAATCCAGAGCTTTGCCTTTAGGCTCAGCTCTGTCTTCACCACGACGGACTGAAGCAACGTCCTCATTACTGAGGATGAGGCCCCGATCCGTTGATCCACCTCCCGCTCCATCACTCAGGAACAAGAGGCCCAGATACCTGAACTCCTCCATCTGAGGCAGACACCCCTGACCTGGTAAGGACGTTCCACCTGTTTCCTGCATGGACCCTGACGTGGAGCTGGTTCCGACCCCAGCAGTTATTAAGTACACAGAACTAGATTATTCAGCGGCAGCAGCCAACAGCATTCCATTCCAGAAGGTGTTACAGCACACCACCGTGTGGAGTGATTGATGTCCTGAAACCAGACCTGAAGGCAAACAGCTTTCTTTGGAGGGAAGGTGGAGCCTGAATTATGAAATGTCACTCTGAGGTCTTCAGAAAAGAACAAATGCAGATGTTTGTGAGTCTGCCAAAAAATTAAAGAATATAAAAATGTTGCACTGTTGAGGAAAACATCTACAAGATCTCTGAAAAATAATCAGAGAAGCTGAAAAACAATTTGCAAAGCTGAAAGAAGAACTCTTAAAGCCTAAAGGAGCAACTTGACCAACACAAATGTAGATATAGTCACGTCACATTTATTTATAAAGCACATTTAAAACAGCAGCTGTTACCAAAGTGCAGAACAAGAAAATCAATGGCTGTAATTAAAGAAAAAATAACGTGATTGAAAGCATCAAAAGTAAAAACTCAAAAACAATGAAATACTAAAACAGATCACAATGTGTTAAACGTCAGTGAAAACAGGTGAGTTTTAGAGAGATTTAAAAACAGGAAGTGAAGTGTCCGGTCTGATGTTGGGCAGATTGTTCAAGAGTTTAGGGCCGACAACTGAAAAAGTCCTATCTCCTCTGAGCTTCAGCCAAAGCCGGTCAGATGATCTGAGCGCCCGAGAAGGAACATATGGTTGAAGTAGATCAGAGAGATGAGGGTACAAGGTCATTTAGTCATTTAAAGGTCAACAGAAACATTTTAAAATCTATTCTGATCCGTACAGGGAGCCAGCGAAGCGAGGACAAAACTGGTGAAATATGCTCAAACCTACGAGTTCCTGTTAAGAACTGAGCTGCAGCATTTTGGACGAGCTGGAGACGTGACAGGGACACCTGCCTGACCCCAACATAAAGTGTGTTACAGCCGTGTCGTCATGAAGGCATGGACTATAGGTCAGATCAGGTCAACACTGACTTAAACTTAGCTATCTGCCTTAACTGGAAGAAGCTTTTCTGCAGATACAGTGAAAACAGGAGGTCCAGATATAATTTGGAGACAGAAGGAGATCATCAGAGGTACAGCACAGGATGAAGGTCTGGGCGATAAAGTTAGAGAGGCCAGACTGAGATGGCATGGACATGTCCAGAGGAGGGACAGAGGTTTGGACATGTGCAGAGGAAGGACAGTGGTTTGGGTAGAAGGTTGTTAGAAATGCATCTGCCAGGAAAAAGACAACGAGGAGATATATGGATGCAGTTAGAGAGGACAGTTGAAGTGAGGACAGAGGACGAAGAGGACAGAGATGGAGGAGGACTTGCTGTGGAGACCCCTGAAGAGAGAACAGCTGACAGAAGGAGCAGCGTAAACACTGAGAACAAAAGAAAGAGACAGACATGTTTGGATGCAGCAGAAAAGGTTGTTGCAGACCAGACCTTCAGCTCTAAAGCACGGTGGTGGAAATGTCATGGTGATGACTGTCTTCAGTGTTTTGAAGCTCAAAGACACATGACCAACATGAAGAACCTCTGTGGATTAAGTCCCACTGGTGTTTTAAAACCTGTTGGTTTACGGTCACAGACATCATCGATGGTTCGGTCCAACTGGACCCGACCGGAACGTCTCTCAAGAACGTTCCGGTTGTTTTTGCACCTTGTGTCCCAGCTCAAGTGTTCCTCTGTTCTGAGCTGCAGTGAAACCGTCTCTGTTTCACTCTGAACAGTCTGATGTCATTGTTTGGTTGCACAACAGAACAAAGGGTGCGGGATGGGGAGGAGGGGGGGTTATGTGTGCAGACCTGCAGGGCCCAGAGCAACATAACCAGCGGGTCAGAACACGACAGCAGGACTCCAGGTGCCTCGCAGATTGGGGGGGTGTTCTGGGCTAGGAACTGGTTTCTGGGAGCTGTTGATGGATTGCCTGCCAGAGACATGAGTAGCAACAGCAGAGCATACCTGACGTTCCTGCTGCGATACTGTCACCATGCTGCCTGCGGCGGCCCCGGGTGGGGGGGGGGGGGGGGGGGGGGGGGGGGGGGGGGGTAGTGACACCTGAATCCCTCCCTTCCTCCCCATCCAGAAGCATAAAAGCCACTCCTTTCTTCCTCTCCTGCATTCTCTCCTCGTCTCCATCCAGACCAGGCGAATTCCTCCACCATGATCTCCACACAGTCCTTCCGCTCCGGTTCCATCAGGTCCCCCAGCGTATACGGCGGCGCCGGGGGCTCCGGGGTCAGGATCTCCAGCTCAAGTGCTTCCAGATCCTTCTCCTCCGGTGGCGGTGGAGGTTTCTCCTCCGGTGGCGGTGGAGG